CCGCAACCGCTCCGCGCAACCGCTCCGCCGCCGGCAGACAGAGGTAGGTTCTGGGATCTTTTTATTTAGCACTGCAAAGCCATATGATGCAGCAGGAAACCATTTTGCCCTGAAAACCGACCAGGAAGCTTTGCTCCTTCTAAAAACTCAAAAAGCCATACATTCATGTCACTGCTGGGTGGGATTTGATGGAACGTGACGACTGCTCCGTGCCGGCTGAGCAGCACCCGCACCATCTGTGCCTTAATGGGAAACCCACTGCATGCACCCAAGCCCGAGCAGCACCCAGACCTCACACTGCAGCACCTGAGGCTCACGCTCCTTTCACTCTCTCCCCCAGCGATTTCATTTCAGCTGCTCGGCCTGTCTTAACAAAGGGATTCTCTTAAAGAAAAATCTAGACTAAAAGGCGATCCAGGACTAACATTTTTCTGATTACAGCATTTTCTTACTAAAAAGTTTGTAAAAATTTAACAAATGAGAAAATAGTTCAACATTTTTATCTGAGTGCAGATGTAAAGAATGCCAAAAAATATTACAATTGTGATTTTTATATAAAAGACCATAAAAGGTCTTATGTAGGTTATGTTATAATGGAGCCAAAGAGGTCACTTAGAGAGCTTCAGATTTCCCTAACATTGCGATTAGAATTCTTCACAGTAACATTTATCTTACTGTAGTATATGTCAAGCTTTTATTAAATGAATACCTTTTTAAATGGCCTTTCGTTTTTGATAAGCCACAAATGTATGCGCACGCACACACACACACACACACACACACGCACATCACAATACTTGAATATAATGTTGAAGTTATTCTTAAAACTTACCCTCAAAATAATTACAAAGGCTTTTTAGTAAACTGCATCTTAAAATTTAAAAAATGTCTTGAGAAGAACTGGGTAAGGGGAGAGAGAGCGCAGCACCTCTTAGGTACCAAGTTATTTTTATGGCTCAGAGCAGTCGTTGGTGTCTATTAACAAGTCAGTCATCAACCGCTGACCCCACTTCTCGCTTTACGAGGTGCCATTACGTGTGGGTGCCAGGGCGCAGGCGCTGACCTCCAGGCTGGCTCACCTAGGCCCTGCTGGCAGGCGTGCTCAGCCCTGCAGGCTTGTCTTGTAGACTGTTTCTTTCCATCAAATAACCACTCAAAGTTCAGGTAGATCCCTGGCAGGAACCTAAACCGCTCACCTGGCCCCAACACTTGGCCGTCAGCCACCTTGGGCTGTGCAAGGCGGGGCTCACCGCTATTTCAGGACCACCCCACCAGATGGACAGCCTCTCTCATCCCAGCACCTGGGGTGGGATGCTGCTCTGTGTGAAGGATGCCATGACCACTGATCAGACTTCAGAGCAGCAAACTTAAAGGAACTAAAGGACTTAATTCAAGAGCTTTTACATAAATACAGCAAATGCTTAATTCTATGCTGACCTGGCAATCCAAGGTTCCAGAGCAGTTCTAATCCCATCCCCATGAACATGCCATTGGGGCCTTCTGAAATGGATGAGAAGGAGATGAAGCACACCTTCAAACCACACCTAGCTCAGGTGGAACACAGCCAGGGGGACCTCTACAGGAGGACGGTGTGGCCCCAGGTTGACCCAGCCTGCTGGTGCATGCCCATAAGGGGGCCCCAGCTGCCTGAAGGACAGGGGGTGGCACAGTGGAGCCTCTTCTGGGGTGCTTCATCTTTTTCTTTCTCTCAGGGGAAAGAATAAATGAACTTTAAATAAATACACACACACACAAAATCTTATTTACTGTAAAGGACCCCGTACCCAAAAGGAAAGTTGAAATGGAGACGGGGTCTGGGAAAGCACAGCAGACTGCTCCTACTTTTCCTTTTGCTATTTTCTCTTGCTGTTTATAAGGTAGGTTTGTAACACTGGCTTGATATAAATAGCATTTTAATTTCAAAAATATAGCTGCAAAATAGGAAAAAAATCTTATTAATGTGTTTCTTTCTGTACACCTTGCCAAAGTAAGGTTGTCTGTATCCTAAGTTGTTTTTTAAATGCTTCTCAGTTCATTAGTTTTTTTAAGGTTTTTGTCATGGGGTACACGCGCTCACTGCAGAGAGAAAGTGACAAATCACCCAAGGGGAACAGCTATGCCGCAGTCCATTCTCCATTCTTCTCTCCAGGTCTTGGGCATACACACACACGCACCTAGGGTGATTTTCAAGCTGCTGGGCCTAGGGCTCAAACCACAGTCCGCCACGTAGGAGTCCAGAGTCTTAACCACCATGCTACCTGCTGGTCCCACCTACCCTAAATTTTAACACAGAAAGTTATTAGCACTCTACCGAACTCTGAAAACCACACATTAAATTGAAGGTGGAAAATGGCCACATATCGCAGGGTTTGCTTTACTCCAGAGAAGCCCAGGAGCTACCAGAGCAGGGATGTCTGGAGGGCCAACAGTTACCGACACTCACGAGATGTGAACTGTCGCACTTCGCAGCATAAACTGACACACACATGCGACCCGGAGCTGCTGAGCCACTTCCTGCAAACACAGTCATCCAAGGTGGTGCCCATTTCTAGCAGTCGTCACTGAGGCAGAATTTGTACGAGCACTTTTATGTGTACATCAAGGACACGGTCTAGTCAAACTGCAGTGCTGGGCCAGCCAGGTGGTGTGGCGGGAAGGCAGCTGGCTCTCACAGGGCCCAATGAGCGGGTCTCACAGTGCCCAATGAGCGGGTCAAGTACCGGACAGTGCCTTGAAAAACGCCAGGCACATGTGCGTGCATGCCCAAAATCCTGAGAGGAGGATGGAGAGGGGACTGTGGCATGGCCATCTCCCCTGGGGGGTGCTTTCTCACCGCCCCCCATCCCTTTCTCTCTCTCCCTCTGACCCCGACAAGCACGTACCCCTATAGAAAGAAAAAACAAAATGATGCTTCTTACTAAACCTAATTTAATTTTTTAGAAGTGACCAGAATATTCAATAAATGCATTAAGTAGATATATAATACCGTAAACTTAAAAAAATCAAATGCAAGGAACAGTATGTTTCTCCATCTCAGGCACACCCACGTCCCACTTGCCTCCCGCCCACCCCCACGACTGTGCTCCTGAGTTCTCGCAGCGCCTTCCGAGGCCGGTGCCCAGGTCCTCTCCCTGCACACTGATGCGCTGTCCTTTCATTTCACCACCGACTCGACAAGTTCCGTTCCGCATCACTGCAGCTACCTGGGACCCGGCTGTTCAAGTGCACCATGTTTACTGGCCCAGAAGAGCTGCTCGCCGACAGGCGCAAGTTAGCCTCACATAACCAAGCACAGGGGTGTGCCAGGCTGTTTCTACCGCTTTAGGGGCAAGAGGACATGAAAAAAAGTTTAAAGAAGTTCACTTATAGCCCAAAAATAAACAGAATACAAGACTACTTAGACTAATTTCCTAATCATTCTAAATTTCATTTTAAAATGGTAATTTACATTTTTGGTTTTTATAATTTCGGTAAGTCAACACAAACAAACAAAAAAAAGGCCTATTCATAAATTAAGATACCAAGTAATAACTTTGGTATAATTTCAACCAGGTAAAAATTACAGATTTATGTAACTGATTTCTACAAAGAAAAAAAGAGAAAAGTAAGTTTGTTATATTAGGGAGATGGGATTACAACAGAAGCTTTTTAATTGATTCAAAACGCTAAACTGATGTTTCTGAAACCAGGAAAATGTCTCCAAGTCACCCTGAGTTCACGGAGACAGCAATGCGACATGGGGCAGAACCAGTCGCTCTGGTCATCTCCTCCCGCTGCTTCCCCTGCAAGTCCTTCTCCTGCCAGGTTTAGAAGAAACTCTCAACACAAATTCCCAGACTTTAAAATGGGATAAACCCAGGGCAGCAGGTGGCATGGTGGTTGAGGCACTAGATTCTCATGGGTCAACTGCTGATCGAGTTCTGGACCCAGCAGCTTGAGAAATCATACAAATAAATAGATAAGTAAATGTTTTTTTCTTTTTTTAAAAAAAGGGATCAACCTGAAAGGCCTGCCCAGAAAAGTCTGAAGCTGTGGCAAGGTCCCAGGTCAGCAGCCAAGGAGTTGGGAAGCATCGTAAGGGAACCCCTTCACTCCCCAGCCCCATCCGGTGCTGCCCTTTGGCTCCCCTAGCTCTGGCTCTTCTCCATCTCCCTAAGAACTCTGTCCCCACAGTCCTTTTGGCCGGAACCGCCATCTTCCAGTAATTAACCAAAATGACGAACACA